GTCAGCCCAGCTTGTGGCTAAGCAGAGCTCCCCCTGTGGGAGCACACTGACCACCAGGGGGCAGCTCCTGAGTTGAGCGTCTGCCCCCTGGTGGTCAGTGTGCGTCATAGCAACAGGTCAATCCACCATTAGGGTCAATTTGCATATTACCCTTTTATTATATAGGATACAGTACAGTATTGGCACTGTGGCCACTTCAGGCAGCCAAATCTTCTACTAAACATGACACATGGTAGGGCTATACAAACAGCTCATGGAGGTGACTAAAGTTCATTTTTGACCTTCCCACACAAAGCAAAACTGTCCTTGTTTCTCTGGAGTCATGTCCATGAAGATACAGGCATTATCTAAGTTCGTTATACAGTTTTCTGCAGGCCACTGTCAGGGCTGTGCACGGTGGCCAGTTTTCCTTCTAGCCACAAATACGGTCTGTCTAATTTCCCTAAAATGTATTCTGGCATGGGAGAAAGTTGTTTGCTGAACACAGGGAGCTAACCTTTGCACAACTGGGCTTGGACATCTGCCCAGCAAACTGTAGTTTACAAGTTCAGCATGTGGCCTCAGGTCGTCCTCCCAGCCCAGCAGGGTTTCGGCCAGTCCCTTAGTCAGACTCCTCCTCTCTTGGAGAGTCTGGAAGTCCTGAAGGCTCTCTAGTCCATGGAGAGTTCCTTCCCTTCCCCCTCTCCTGTTAACCCTTTTTACCAGTTATAGGGCCTTGCCATCCCTGTCTCTCAGCACTGCTTGGTTGCTAGTGGCGAGCCAAACACAGCCGGGGCTGCAGGAAGAGACAAGTTTGCACATAGCAAAGGGCTCTGGTGGCGGCTTGGGTATCAGGCCCTTGCCTTCCCACCTGTCCTCTTTCCTGGCAGAGACCTTGACCTTTCCCACAGGCTTCTCTATGAGTAAGAACAGGGCATCTGACCCCCCTCACCCACCCCCTCCTTTCACCTTGCTCTCAGGGGCTGAGTCTTTAATCTATCTAGCAACCAGCTCTAAATCACCAGGGTGGCTGCGGGCTTCAGCTCTACCTCTCCATTACCTGGCTCCTGTGAGTTCAGTTTTTCCCGAGATACGTCTGCTCCTGTCCTGTTCTTTTCTGCCTGTTACTGAAACCTTACTCTGTCCATTTTTATTACATACATAACCTTTATAAATTTCATACTTTTAAATTAGCCTTTAAACCTTCTTTCTTTGTCCTTCAAAAATGCATAAATATGCCTTAGTCTTTCTAACATTCTTTTTTTTCCTGGTATATCTTCAGTAACCTGTACTGGCCTTTTTTTTCTGACCATAGAAATAACCCTTTGTAATCTGGCCAATAAAATACTATATCCCAAAGTTTCTCTGTTTAAACATTCCAACGCTGCCCAAGAAGTACCCAGTAGCCCCACCCTGCCATACTTGGAGGCAAACTTTTTTTAAATCTGGCTTGACAATGAGATTTTCTCTATGTGTATTGGAGGGTTAAAGAGAATAAAATGGGGCAGAGGAAGATTTATTGTGCTTTGCAGAAAATTTGTGGACTTGAAGAAACCAGCCAGTAAAAATCTACAAAAACTTATCTCTCTCTGCTCTCCCCGCCAACGCTCCCCCTTTCTGCATTAACCATTTACTCTGTCCTTAGCAGGCAAACAAGGTCTGAGATCCTGTATATTTAGACTTTTTGCATTTAAGGACACATTCTTCTCTCTGTAACAGTTGCTTTCCCTTACAGATTTTCCCTTCTTTATTCTAAGCCCCCAGTGGATCTCAAATCCTCCTCACTACTTTTCATCTCTCCGACTATCCCCCAGTCCCCTAGCCTAGGGCTTCTCTATCTCAGCAGGCTGAGAGCCTACTATCCTATCTCACACCTGCTCCGGAGCAGTTTTCTGCTCTCTTCCTCCCCAAGTCAGAGCGGATGCTGTCCCTAATAGACCCACTGTAAATCTATCAGGAAGGGCAGGCAGGTCACAGGTCTTGGGACTACATGATTCTCTGCTTACTAGAAGGGCTGAAAAAGGCAGCCCACAAAGCAGTTAATTATCAAAAATCTGGCAATCTTTCTCTCTCGCCTTACACAAGCCATGAGAAAATGTATTAATCTTAACCCAACAAGTCTTAAGTTCCGCCTCGGCTGGCATGTGTGGGACTATGACGTCACAGGCAGGGGTGGGGCCCTTTAAATATCTCCGCCCTGCCGAGTTTAGCAAGTCCTGCCTCTCTTTCTGTCCTTGGGAACCTCTGTCCACCAGAGGAGATAAGAAAACAGTTTTATAGCTTTTTACTACTTTGTTTCAAATAGTTAACTTGGAAGTCTTTCCTCTTGCTTTTTCTTACAAGCAATCTTGGAACCTAGCCGGCCTTTGTTTTAACCTTCTCTGGGCTACACCCTTTACAATTTTATACCTTTAAATTGACCCCAGAATTCCAAAATTTTTAACCTAATACAGCCAAATCACAAATCAGTGAAGAGCAAACCAAAGCCCCTATTATGAAAACATAGACAGAAATTTTATTAGCGGGCTGATTCCCTCCTTGACAGAGAGCAAACGTCCCTGAGAAAAATAAATCTCACCAGCGCTGCTTAGGAGTTTTGCAGTTTGTCATGGAGTTCAGCCTTAAATAAATAAAACATTTTAAGCAGACGAGTCAACAGAAGTACAGAATAAATCAAAGTAGCTTTCGCTTTTACGCAGGCTCTCACACTTCTATTTATAAACCAGTTAATGAACAGATAATTATGCCGAGACAGACAGACAAACATCCGTACTCGCACTTTCAGTAGACAAGCACTCTTGGGAGCTGAGCAGATAACCGGAACACTGTCCAACTCCCCTGATGGACATGGGGGTACCCTTGGCACTCACACCCCCAGGACAGGTACTCTTGGGAGCTGAGAAGATAACTGGAACACTGCTCAACTCCCCTGATAGAAACAGTCATGGGGGCCTAACAGAAACAGACGTGGCCCCCCACTCCCCGAACCCATGCCCCAGGACGGAGTTCTCAACTAACGTCTCGATGAGAACCTACCGGAGAAGTTAAGACTGCGTCCAGTCCTCCTCTCAGTAGCAAGATGACTAGTCAAACACAGGAAAGTGAACTCAAAATTTCTTAATTGAATTTGAATTTGCTCATCGCCGGAGGCTTTTTCCGATGACTCCAAAAGAATGCAGGGGCATGTCAGTTGTCCCTTGTCTGGCTGTCACGACCACAGAAAAGAGTCCCTGGGGCCCTGGAACTTCATCAGGTGGTACATCCCATAGAGTTCCTTAGGGCCTGGCAGCCAGGCAAGGGAGGCTGTCCGTCGCAGGCGACCCAGACCAGGTGCCGGTAGGCACCTGTCTCTTATCTCGCTGGGGCCTCCAAATGTTATATCATAAATCAGCGAGCTAAACAAGATGCCTTCATGAGCCAATTAGTTAGGAGTTATCTTTATTGCGCACGGGTTCAGAGCAGAATGCCTCTGTCAAATTCTGAACCCAAAACGTAGAAGTTCTCTCTATTTATACTGTATAATATCATACCATCTATGAATAATGACAGTTTTACTTCTTCTTTTTCAATTTGGATGCCCTTTATTTCTTGTCCAATTGATATGGCTAGCACTTCCAGTACTGTGTCGAACAGGAGTGATGAAAGTGGGCATCCCTGTTTTTTTTTTCCTGTTCTTAGGGAAAATGGTTTTAGGTTTTGCTCATTGAGTATGATGTTGGCTGTGGTTTGTCACATAAGGCTTTTATTATGTTGAAGTATGATCCCTCTATTCCCACTTTGCTGAGAGTTTTTACCAAAAAAGGGTTTTGGATTTTGTCAAATCCTTTTCTGCATCTATTGATATGATCATGTGATTTTTGTCTTTCAGTTTGTTTATGTGCTGTATCACGTTTATTGATTTGTGTGTATTGTACCAGCTTTGCATCCCCAGATTAAATCCCACTTGGTAATGGTGTATAATCTTTTTAATATATTGCTGTATGCAATTTCCTAATATTTTGTTGAGGATTTTAGCATCTATGTTCATCAGGGATACTGGTCTATAATTCTTTCTTTGTAGGGTCCTTATATGGTTTTGAGATTAGGGTAATGCTGGCTTCATAGAAAGATCTTGGAAGTGTTCATTCCTCTTGAACTTTTTGTAATAGTCTGAGGTGCGTCGATGTCAGTTCTTTTTTGAGTATTTGGTAAATTCCCCTGTGAAGCTGTCTGGACCAGGGTTTAGTTTGCTGGAAGTTTTTTTGATTACTGCTTCAATTTCACCAGTAGTTATTGGCCTGTTCTAGTTTTTTTTATTTTTCCTGATTGAGTTTTGGAAGATTGTATTTTTCTAGAACTATGTTTATTTCATCTAGGTTCTCCAGTTTGTTGGAATATAGATGTTCATAGTATTTTTCTTTTTTAAAAAATAATCCTTTGTATTTCTGTGGGGTTGGTTGTTAACTTCACCTCTTTCATTTCTGATTTTGTTTATTTGGGTCCTCTCTCTTTGTTTCTTGGTGAGCCTGGTTAGAGGTTCATCAATCTTGTTTATCCTTTTAATGACCCATCTCTGGTTCTGTTGATCCTTTGTTTTTGTTTGTTGGTTTTTTGGTCTCTATGCCGTTTATTTCTGCTCTGGTATTTCCTTCTACTTACTCTGGGCTTTTCTTGTTGCTCTCTTTTTAACTCTTTATGCTGTAGGTTTAGATAATTTATTACCAGGTTTTCTTGTGTTTGTGTGTGGGTTTTGTTTTTTTTTTAGGTAAGCTTGTAGTGCTATGAACTTCCTTCTCAGGACTGCTTTCACTGTGTCCCATAGATTTTGGATTGTTGTGTTTTCATTGTCATTTGTTTCCAGTATGTTTTTATTTCTTCTTTGGTCTCTTTGGTAACCCATTCATTGTTTGATAGCATGCTGTTTAGCCTCCATGTGTTTGATTGTTTTTGAGTGTTTTTAATGTAGTTGATTTCTAATTTTATGCCATTGCGATCTGAGAAGATGCTTGATATAGTTTCATTCTTCTTGAATTTGTAGAGACTTAGCCTGTGTCCTTATATGTGGCCTATCTTTGAAAATGTCCCATGTGCATGTGAGAAGAATATATATTCCGTGCCTTTGGGGTGAAATGTTCCGAAGATGTCAGTTAGTTCCATCTGATCAAGTGAGTCATTTAGGATTGCTGTTTCTTTGTTGAATTTTTGTCTAAAAGATTTACCAAGTTGTGTCACTGGGGTATTAAAGTCCCCTATTATGATTGTATTGCTGTCCATCTCTCCTTTGATAATCTTCCAGAAGTTTTTTTTTATATATTTGGGTGCTCCTGTTTTGGGTGCATATATGTTTACCGGAGTTATATCCTCTTGTCGTATCAATCCCTTTAGTATTTAGTGGGATTGGAACAACATGAAACAAAGCAATATCCACATAATAGGGGTGCCAGAAGGAGTAGAAGCTGAGCAAGGAATAGAAACCCTGCTTGAAGAAATAATGACACAAAACTTCCCTGACTTGTGGAACAAAAGGACCTAGTGCTGTGAGTGCAAGCCAGAGGGACCCCACACTCCTTCCTGCCCAGGTGCCAGAGCTGTACTAAAATTGCGAGCCGGAGGCTCCTAGGGCACAACCTAGAAGTTTTGTGTCATTATCTCTTGTTATGGCCTTCACTTTGAGGTCTATTTTGTCAGATATAAGTATTGCTACCCTAGCTTTTTTTTTTTTTTTTCATTTCCATTTACTTGAAAAAAATTTCCCATCCCTTCACTTTCAGTCTGTGTGAGTCCTTTGTTCTGAGGTGGGTCTCTTGCAGACAACGTATAAGTGGGTCATGTTTTCTTATCTATTCAGCCATCCTATGCCTTTTGATTGGAACATTTAATCCACTTACATTTAAGGTTATTATGGATAGGTACTTGTTTGTTGCCATTTTTATTCTTTATGTCTGTATTTCTCTTTATCTTTCTATTTCTTTTTCTTACACCAATCCCTTGAGAATTTCTGGAATTGCTGGTTTGGTGGTAATAAACTCCCTTAGACTTTTTTTGTCTAAAGGGATAATAGTTCCCTTGCTTTTAATTACTTTATATACTTCATTCCATTCCCTTCTGGCCTGATGTGTTTCTGTTGAAAAATCAGCCTATAGTCTAATGACAGAACCCTTGTAAGTACCTTTCTGTCTCTCTTGCCGCCCTTGAGATTCTTTGTTGTTAATGTTTTCCATTGTAATTACAAAGTGTCTTGGTGTGGGTCTTTTTGGGTTCCTCTTGTTTGGGACTCTGCTTGTATGACTTTTTTGTTCCACAAGTCAGGGAAGTTTTGTGTCATTATTTCTTCAAGCAGGGTTTCTATTCATTGCTCAGCTTCTACTCCTTCTGGCACCCCTTATTATGTGGATATTGCTTTGTTTCATGTTGTTCCAAAGCTTCCTTAAACTCTCCTCCTGCTTTTTAAAATTTTTTTTCCAATTGCTGTTCAAATTGGGTGTTGTCTGCTGCAGATACTTGGTCGGCAGTAATGTGTGCACAGTTCTTCTGGTATGTAACTTCCTGTGAGGTTCCAGAGCCCTCTGGCATGCATGGGCTGTGGCGCCTGAGGCAGGGTTGTGCCCTAGGAGCCTCTGGCTCGCAATTTTAGTACAGCTCTGGCACCTGGGCAGGAAGGAGTGTGGGGTCCCTCTGGCTTGCACTCACAGCACTAGGTCCTCAAGCACTGGATCCTGGAGCCCGGGTGGGGAGGCATGGCGCAGGAGGTCTCTCTTCACCTCACTATTTAAACTCAAGTGTTTTGGCATTTTCACACTTCTTTTTCCATGTGTTTTTTAATAGCAGAAGTCATACTTCATATATTTTTTCCCTCTGACACTATCATAACTGTATTCTCATGTTACAATATAGTTTTCTGGTCCTATTTAATGGCTTTCTGTTTTCATTGGATGGTGGTATAATATAGATAGCAGCTTCCCAATTGTCAGATATTTTGGTTTATCCCTCCGTCTTTTTTTTTTTTTTTTTTTAAATTATAAATAAGGACATGATTTGTGAAGGGAGCTTTCCTATATGTATACTCATGGCTTGAGGATAATACTCAAAAGAAAATCACATGGTCCAAAGATATAAACAGTACACATAGTCTCTGCTTTTTTGAGGAATAGTGAATATTGTGATTCATTTTAATTTCTCCTATTTCTTGCTCGCTTGCCACTTTTTATTTAGTTAGTTTATTAATATCTTTTCTGTCATAGTTTCCTCCTCTACTTGAAGAAGTATATGATTTGATGGGATCAACTTGTCCCTTCTTAACACATTGCGAAGAGAATTCTCACTTCGTGTTACACAGTGTTTTGCAAAGTATCATACTTTAAAAAGGTATTAGCTTGTAAGAATATGTAATAAGTAATTTCAAAATGCAATGGGTATTTAAATTTAAAGCGTGCCTGTAACATTTATGTAAAACGTTTTTTGTACTCGTTCAATAGAAACTTATTTGGCCACTGGGTAAAGCTAGCAATAAAACTACTGGTCCACAATGTGTTAACAATGTGTGTTTCTTAATAGGGGCATGATTTTGGACACAGTTCTATTCAATAAACATGAATTAAGACCCTACTAGGTACCAGAGAGTAGCAATCAGAAGATGCCTAGGATTAGCTCTAACCTCAAGGCTTTCTCAAGTTGGGGAAGGTGGAATGGGGAGGATGTTTGTTATTTGCTCTCCTTCTTTCTCAAGCACTTGGTCCTTGGGAGTTGTTCAGCATTTAGGGAGTGACCAAATAAGGGCTGAGTGCGTATAATAACTTAGGACCACTCATTCGTGGTGAAGGTTTCTGTATGATGTAACCCTCTGTTCACTCACTTGAAGTGCTCGCTCATGGTCCAGTATTATTTCTCAAAGTTATCCATGGTGAAATTTTGCTATTGTACCCCACTGATTTATGCACATTTGCTGACCACCAGCTGTAGACACGGTAACCCTCTCTACAGGTGTCTTGAATCAAGGAGGCAGCCCAGTAGCCCAGACACTGCAGTCTAAGTGAGATGGGATAGGTGCTGAGAAAGGATGGATGACTCTAGTTTAGTGGTTCTCAACCTCCCTAATGCCGCGACCCTTTATTACAGTTCCTCATGTTGTGGTGACCCCCAATTTCATTGCTACAAATTGAACATAATTAAAACATAGTGATTAATCACAAAAACAATATGTAATTATATATGTGTTTTCCAATGGTCTTAGGCGACCCCTGTGAAAAGGGTCGTTTGACCCCCAAAGGGGTCGCGACCCACAGGTTGAGAACTGCTGCTCTAGTTGAAATTAAGGCACAACATCAGGCCATTACGTAACTTCTCTGGATTTTGTTCTCATCAACACTTAAAGGAAGTGTTTGGGCTGAACCCTCTGTGTTTTTCAGGCATGTGGTCCTTGATCCTTGTGACTGGCTCGGCACTATTGAATGCTGAACCCCAAATGAGATATTCCAAAATTAGAGGGATATATGGGATCATGTTTTCACTTACTTTTTTAAAAATACATATTTTTATTGATTTCAGAGAGGAAGGGAGAGGGAGAGAGATAGAAACATCAATGATGAGAGAGAATCATTGATTGGCTGCCTTCTGTTCGTCCCCCACTGGGGATAGAGCCCGCAACCCAGGCATTGTGCCCTTGGGATCCTTCAGTCCACAGGCCGATGTTCTATCCACTGAGCCAAACCAGTTAGGGCTTCACTTACTTTTTAGTTGGACTTAATATTTTAAAAGTGTGCATTATAATGTCATCATGATCTATAATTTGGTTTACTTAGTGAACTTTAAAACATTGGTTAAAAATTAAAATTGTATTTATTGATATCCATGAATGTCATGAACTTGATTATTATCTTTTTCTTCTTTCTCTTACAGCTGTTTGGGGCAACTACGTTAATATGAGGTAATTGATTTTAATAATTTGGGTTTTGTAGACACATTTCAGTTGTTACATATATACCATTGATATCATGGCTTAATTGGATTTAATTTTAAAAATAAAGCCAAGTATTTTTCTATTCACACATCTGGGCTTGTCTTCTGTGGATCTTCTCGAGGAATGCTGCTGGTCCCTGGCTCTAAGGATCAGGCCACGTGGATGCTGAGACCACCTGTCCTTTCCGAGGAATCTTCTGGCCTCACTGTGCATTATTTGTATTGCTAACTAGGGCAGGAAGGATACTTATAAAAGTGAAATCCTTGTGTCAATTTTAAAAAGTCATCAACATGTAATAAGTGTTCATTGTAAAAACAAATTCGGTGCAGTTAGTATAGTTTTATTAGAAAAAAAAATTACTCCACGTTGTTTTTCTTGGTAGTAGAACTAAATTAAGAAAGCAGTCATGATGTAGTGATTGAACTGGATCTGGAAGTTTAATACTGCTATGCCCCCACCAGGCTTTTCATATTGGGTTGGTTTTCAAGGAGGGGCCTTGTTGAGCTAATTCCTGCCACCAGGGCTTGTGTGTTTCCTGACAAAGGCTTCTGTGTGTGGCTAGGTGGGGTGTTCTGCCCCCATTTAAAGGAGTTCTGTTTATTTCCTTGGAAAAACTCCATTTGGTTAAATCCCCAGGAAGCCCAACAGTCAGGCTTGTACTCTTGTAGAGACACACCTCCTGCTTTAAAATCCCTTGTTGGGTATAATGTGAAAGTGAGATTATTTTATTTCATAGAAACAGTGCTAAGGCAGTAGTGAATGTGTGAGATGGATTTAGATTTCCTCTCCCTGGTTGACTTATTTTTCTCTACTGCACCCCCTTCAGGAGGGCATTGGCTCATTTTCTATATATATAAAAGCCTAAGCGACCAAACAACCGGTTGACTGGTTGCTATGACACGCACTGATCACCAGGGGGCAGACGCTCAACGCTGGAGATGTCCCCTGGTGGTCAGTGCGCTACCACAGTCAATCTCCCACAGCCAGCCAACCTCCTGCGGTCCCTCCTCCCAGCCAGCCAACCTCCCACAGTCCCTTCCCCCGGCCGGCTGGCAAACCTCCCAGGATCCCACCCCCTGGCCAGCCAACCTCCCGTGGCCCCTCCCCCTGGCCTGCCCGAGGGACCCCACCCGTGCATGAATTCATGCACCAGGCCTCTAGTATGACTGATGTTTGGAAAGGAGAGAGAGGTGGTCTCAGACTTTGGTTTGTGTTGTGGTGGACATTTGTTCAGAAATAACTCTTGAAGTCATAAAGCCTTTCAATTGATCTCAGTTTTGTAGCTTTCTACTCAACAGGTCTATCCAGGAAAATGGTGAAATGAAACTTGAACGAAAGATTGAAGAGGTTAGTAGTCTCTTCCATATTTTGCTTCTGTTTTTTTCCATATATTTATCTACTTCAGTTCTTTTGTTTGTGCTGGTATCTTTATTGTCACAACTTGATGCTGATCTATGATTTTGAGACCATTTATCAAAAAATGATCCCTGCCCAGCTAGAGTGGCTCAGTTGGTTGAGTGTCATCTGTGCACTGAAAGGTTGCTGCTTCGATTTCTAGTCTCAGGGTACATACCTGGGTTGTGGGTTCGATCCCCAGTTGGGGCACGTACAGAAACCAACTGAAAGTTTCTCTCTCAGATGGGTGTTTCTCTCTCCCCGCTGCCCCCCACCCTTTCTAAGCATGTCCTTGAATGAGGATTTAAAAAAAAAATCCCTTATTTAATAGGAGACTTAATATTGTTAGGCTGAAGATATATCTTTGTGTCAGTTTTTGTCCATTTTATAAAGGCATGCTCTATTAAAACACATTCTATCTTAAAGGCAAAATGAGTTTAAACTTTTATGTGACTTTTTGGTGCACCTTTCCAGAAATTCTTAGAGAAAAGGAAGTGATTACCTGGGTGAGGGATGGAGGCCAGTGCCAGCATCCACTCTACCTGAGCAGATGCTGAAAGGAAAAAGGTCTGCCTGAGATGCTAGGACTCTGGGAACATAAAGAGTGTCCGTAGGTGCAGACAGAGAAATCACAGACCTCCCTCACTGAAAGCTAGTTCCTTTAGTTGGTAATATACCTTATATTTTTAAGTAATTGCTTATGTTTTAGTCAAATAAATGTAGATATGAATATACTATTGTAACATGGGCCTGGGAAGGGATGAGGAGTTCCTCGTTTTCATTGGAAGCCAGATGCTGAATTCCTGGGGAAGCCCTTGGGTTGCCTTGTTGTTCTGTTCATGCTCAAGGTGTTAACACAGATAGGGATTGACTTATGGCCTGTGATTTCTGTGTTAGAGCTGGTTCCCTAGAGATAACATGCAGAAGCAAGATGATATGCTTTTGTGGGCAGCAACTAGGGGATTTTTAGTTCCTGAAAAAAAAAAACCAGTAGTATTGAGCTGCCTATTTTTATGAGCCTGAACCACCTTTAATATTGTTCATAGTAAGGTAGGAAAGTAAAAAGGTTAATTTCCTCAGAGACTTATGCATCTGTGGAGTAAGGGTTCCAGTGTGCAATTTATTATCTTGATTCCGGAATTGTGATTGAAGTGGTAAAGCTTAATTTCAAACTGGAAGTGCATTGTAGGAGGAATTTAAAATCTGTTTTGCATTATGTCATACCTCTCTGGAACATCAGAGCAAGGTGAAAGTGGTAAAGCCCTGTTTTTGCTGATACTGGTTATTTTTATTTTAGATTGTTGAACCACTTAGAGAGAAAATAAGAGATTTGGAAAAAAGGTATGTATGCTTTTTGTTTTGCATTTAGGAAAATGCTTATATCTTTACGATTGATTTTAGAAGGTCAGTATAATACACACACACACACACACACACACACACACACACACACTAGAGGCCTGGTACACGAAATTCCTGCACGGGGTGGGAGTATGTCCCTCATCCCGGCCTGCACCCTCTCCAATCTGGGACCCCTTGGGTTATGTCTGACTGCCAGATTAGGCCCGATCCCAGTCAGACATCCCTCTCACAACCCGGGACTGCTGGCTCCTAACTGCTCGCCTGCCTGCCTACCTGATCACCCCCTAACCGTTCCCCTGCAGGACTGATTGATGCCTAACTGCTCCCCTGCCAGCCCGATCGCCCCCAACTGCCCTTCCCTGCAGGCCCGGTCGCCCCCAACTGCCCTCCCCTGCTGGCCTGGTTGTCCCTAACTGCCCTCCCCTGAAGGCCTGGTCGACCCCACTGCCCTCCCCTGCTGGCCTAGTCGCCCCTGACTGCCCTCCCCTGCTGGTCTGGTCACACTCAACTGCCCTCCCTGCTGGCCTGATTGCCCACAACTGCCCTCCCCCGCCGGCCATCTTTTGGTGACCATCTTGTGACGATGTGGGGGTGGCCATCTTGTGATGATGTCGCACGGTGCCACCTAGGCTTTTATTATATAGGATTTATCTCAACCGAGTAATTAATTCTGTAGTATGAAAAAATGTAAGGCACTATCAAGACAAGAGCCTTTGCACGACATGGTAAATTTTTACTCTAAAATTTGGATGCAGTGTTTTCTAAACTTTTTTTTCTTTTGTCATTAACCCTACCAGACCACTGTACCGATATTTTGGTAATTTCTGAATCTGCCGCTATACCGCTGTACCTAATTTTCAGTACTTTGCCTAGTACGTGAAAAAAATGCATCACAAACTAAAAATAACCAACCAATCATGGTCAAACCTCATGCTTAGCCATTGCAAATGTCTGCCCCCATGTGTTTGAATTGACTTTGTATGATTTGATGTGAAAAAATTCTGAAAATTCACAATTAAACGAGCAGCTGATGAACAACCAAGCACTTCAACAGGAAAGCGAAGGTTCAGGGCCTCAGGTCTGGTAGACTTAATAACTGCTTTTATTTTATTTTAAATAAATTTTAATGTTTCAATTACATGTACATTATTATATGTTTCATATTTACATCCCAGTAATTAGGCATTATATAATTTACTAAGTGATCATCCTAATAAATGTTACATCCCAATACATAATACAAAGTTATTAGGATATTATTGACTATATTCCTTATGCTATACTTTACATTCCCATGGCTAGTCTGTAACAACCAATTTGTACTTCTTAATCTCTTCACCTTTTTCACCCAGTCCCCCTAACTTCCCTCTCATCTAGCAACCATCAAAGTATTCTCTGTAGCACTGGCTGGTTTTACTCAGTGGTTAGAGTGTCAACCTGCAGATAGTAGCATCATGGGTTCGATTCCAGGTCAAGGATACGTAATTCAGTTGTAGGTTCCCCAGCCCCTGTAGGGGTGTGTGCGGTAGGCAAGCAATTGATGTATCTCTCTCACATCAGTGTTTCTCTTTCTCTCTCTCCCCCTCCTCTCCTCCCTCCCACTCTCTCTGGAAATCGGTGGAAAAAATATCCTTGGGTGAGGGGAGATATATATATATATATATATATATATATATATATCCTATATAATAAAAGAGAAACATGTAAATTGACTGTCCCTTTGCTATGCTCACCAGCCAATCAGTGAATATGCAAATTAATCCAATAAAGATGGTGGGTTAATTTGCATACATGGTGCTGGGTGGAGAGAAGTGGGAGAGCCGGCAGCTTGGGGGGCTGTGGCTCCCTCGGTCGCTCCCAGCACGGGGAGCACCAGGAATTCTGGGGATAGTAGTTCTGATGGCAGCCCCAGGACCAGAAGCAGAAGCTCAGAGCACGGGGAGCACCAGGAATGCTGGGAATCGTAGTTCTGGTGGCAAACGGATCTCTTAGACACTAGAGCAAAGTGAGCCTGGAGCAAGTTGCTGTTGCGGTGGGGGATGGAGGGAAAGCAAAGGAGAGAGACAAGTAAAATCAGAGTGTCTAGGAAAAATTAAAGGGAAGATATCCTAAAACTTCCAGGAAATCTCCACCAATGAAGCAAAGAAAAAAAATGCCTCTATTATTCTGTGAGCAACAAACCAAACTTGGTTGGAGGTCTCAGACAATTCGCTCATATGATTGCAAAGACCGACAGAAACTCCCGGATTGGAGAGGGCTCCCCTGAGAGCTCCCAGATTGGAGAGGGTGCAGGTCGGGCTGAGGGACCCCTCCACCCCTCTCCCCCGTACACAAATCTTCGTGCACCGGGCCCCTAATCCTATATAATAAAAGCCTAATATGCAAATTGGCCGAATGGCTGAAGGACCAGCAGAATGACTGGTCGCTATGATGCGCACTGACCACCAGGGAGCAGACACTCAATGAAGGAGCTTTCTCCAGCTTGCAGGCCCCAGGCTAGCCAAGGCAGGTGCCAGTGGGGGGGGGGGGGGGGCCTGATCAACCTGCCGGTTGCCCCGAAAAGGGAGGCGACTGGCAGTGCTGGGGGATGGGACCAGCAAGTGGGTGGCGCCAGGCCAACCAAGGCAGTGTCAGTGGGCACCCCCTATCTCCCCACCGGTTGCCCCACAGATCAGCCCCGATCGCAGGCCAGGCCTAGGGACCCTATCTGTGCATGAATTTTGTGTACCGGGCCTCTAGTATATATTCTCTGTATCAATGAATCTGTTCCCATTCTATTTGCTTACTTTAGATTCAATTGTTGATAGATATGTATTTATTGTCATTTTATTGTTCACATTTTTTATCTTAATTTCTTCTTCCTTCATCCCTTTCTCTCTTCCTCCTTTCCTTCCTCCCCTCCCTCTTTCCTTCCTTCCTTCCTTCCTTCCTTCCTTCCTTCCTTCCTTCCTTCCTTCCTTCCTTCCTTCCTTCCTTCCTTATAATCTGGTTGTATGGTGATGAACTCCTTTACCTTTTTCTTGTCCAGGAAGCTCTTTATATGTCCATAGATTCTAAATGATAGTTTTGTAGGCTAGAGTGATCTTGGTTTTAGGATCTTGTTTTTCATCACTTGGAGTATTTCTAGCCACTCCCTTCTGGCCTGCAAGGTTTCTGTTGAAATCAGCTGACAGTCTTATGGGAACTCCCTATAGGTAACTAACTTCTTTTCTTTTCCTGCTCTTAAGATTCTTTGTCTTTATTCTTTGGCAGATTCATTATGATGTGTCTTAGTGTGGGCTTCTTTGGGTTCATCTTGTTTGTGACTCAGTGCTTCCTGGTCTTGTATGCCTGTTTCTTTCACCAAGTTAGGGAAGTTTTCTTTCAGTATTTTTACAGATAGGTTTTGAATTTCTTGCTCTCTTCTCCTTCTGGCACACCATGATGTAAATGTTGATATACTTGAAGTTGTCTCAGAAGCTCTTAAAATACCTTCATTTTTGTTTGTTCTTTTTTTCCTTTTACTGTTTTGATTGGGTGTTTTTTGCTTTCTTATATTCCAAATCACTGATTTGATTCATGGCTTCATTTATTGTCCTGTTGACTCCCTGTAAATTATTCTTCATTTTAGTTAGTATATGTTTCATTTTTGTCTCGCTCTTTTTGTGCTGTTGAAGTTTTCACTAAGTTCATTGAACATACTTATAAACAGTGTTTTGAACTCTGCATGTAGTAAATTGCTTGTCTCTGTTTTTTTTAGTGTTGTTTTTTTTTCTGGAGTTGTGTTCTGTTCTTCCATTGGGACATGTTTTTTGTTTCTTCTCTTTGGAAGCCTCCCTGTGTTTGTTTCTATGTATTAGGTAGAGCCACAATATCTCCTGGACTTGGTAGAGTGGCTTAATATCGATATTCTGTACGGCCCAGTGACACAGGCTAGCCCCCTCCGCTCCCCCCGCCCCACCTTGGGCTCTCAAGGTGTGTTCCTTGTGTGGGCCTAGATTGCTGTTGGCATGTCAGTGAGAGGCATTTACCCCAGAGCTGGTCAGCTGCAAGGATTGGCTGCATCCACCGACCTCCTATGTTGGACCACAGTGGAGGATCACTGTGGAGAATCAGCCCACCCCATAGAATAGGACTTACTGTAGTGGCTTTGGTGCCCACTGAGTCTACCACTTGAGTGTGTTGTTTGTGGAGGTGTTTGGGGTTGGGTGATGCTTCATTGTGGTATGAAGTTGTCCACTGGATGCACTGGCTCTGCGGCCTCCCAGGAGGTGCAGGCCAAGGTCAGCCAGTACCTGTGTTCTGCCCAGGGCCAGCTGGCATGAGCTATAAAGCAGTCTGTAAATGGCTGCTACTTGCTCTGGATTTGGAGGTGCCTGGCTGAGTCCAGGTTGTAAGCCAAGACTGGCTGCTGCTACTGCTGGGCCTGGGGTATCTTAGCAAGAGATGCACACTAAGGCCAGATGCTGCTTGTTTGAGAGATTTTAGGAAAGTCTGAAGGATGAGCCAAGACAGGCCATTCGTATGGAAAAGCCACTGGAAACAACTTGGGTGGACCCACAAGTTGGGTGGGGCAGGGTCTCAGGGACTTACCTGGATGGAGTGAGTAGTGTGAGCCAGGTTGTTAACAGGCTGTAATATGGAACCAGCCTGCCAGATCTTTGGGGGTTTCTCAAAAAGGAACAATGGCCCCCGTTTGCACTTCTGTCTAGGAGAAAGCTGCCTCTCCAGCTCTTGCTCTGATGCCGGACAATTCAGTTCCTCCCTGCGTGTCTCTGGTGCCTTTCAAGCTGCTGCCCAAGTACTAAAACTCAGAAGGAGGGAGTCCTAGTAAGTTTGTGCACACGCCCTTTAAGAGGAACTTCCTGGGACTCCAGTAACCTCTGTCTCCCTCAGTTGCAGTCCATGCTGGTTTTCATAGCCAGAAGATATGGGGACTTCTTTTCCTGGCATTGGAACCCTGAGCTGGGGGCCTGGTGTGGGACTGGGACCCCTTGCAATTCAGGAGGCAACCTTTGGAAATGAGATATTCCTCCCAATTTTTAATCACCACATGTGGGTGTGGGACCAGTCTGTTCCACATCTTTGCCCTTCCTACCAGTCTCATGTGGCTGCTTCTTTAAATCCGTAATTGTAAGACTTCTATTCAGCCAAATTTCAGGCAGTAGTGAATGATCATTTTTCTATAGTTTAGTTGTCAAGAATTATTTCTTTAAAAAAATATTTTTTATTATTTTAGAGAGAGAGAAGGAAGAGAAGGTGAGAGAGACATTGATTTGTTGTTCCACTTATGTATACATTCGGTGGTTGATTCCCCTTATTGGGGATATAACCTGCAACCCTGGTGCATTGGGATGATTCTCCAACTAACTGAGCCACATGGCAGGGCTGTCAAGAACTATTTCTGATGAAAGCTATGTATTTTTCTCCAGGGCGGGAAATTATTTGTGTGTGGATGTATGTATATATTTATTTAAATTTACTTTTTCAGAGGTCTTCCTGAGCCCAACCAATGATCCTGTGTTAAAAGTTCTTCTAATATCCTCTGTGAGTTTGATTTTATTTTTTAATTTTTATGTATTTTTATTGACTTCAGAGAGGAAGGGAGAGGGAGATATATATATACACACACGCGCGTGCACACATGCATATACACACACATACACATACATATACATACACACACATCATTGATGAGAGAGAATCATTGATTGGCTGCCTCCTGCATGCCCCACACTGGGGATTGAGTCTGCAACCTTGGCATGTGCCCTGACCAGGAATCAAACTGTGACCTCCTGGTTCATAGGTCGATGCTCAACCACTGAGCCACATTGGCTGGGCTATGAGTTTGATTTTTAGAAACTATGATGATCTAAATAAATGTCTACATAAATGTTTTTGTTTTTCTGCATTTGAGTGTAATACCCAGGTGGTCAGAACATTGGGAGAAGAGAGGACCTTCTTTTTCTAAACCTTGTGCATTTCTAAATAAATTTCTGAAATTTAATTCCATACAAAGTGGTCAGATGGTTTCTAGCCTATATTGATTAGTCTCAGAGAATTATTTGCAAACCAAGAAAAGACTTCAGAGGGTATAAAACCTAGTATCATATGTAAGTGCTGTAAGAAATTATTGTTTGTAATCTGTCATGTTGAGCCATTTAATTGCTTTTTTCACCAAAATATATCAGGAAGTTTTCAGAATTGAGTCCAGGTAATGTGGCTGGCAGTGAAGAATTGTGTAATATGGTGGAAACTTTATTTAAATCAGATTACAAAGAAACTTTTTCTTCACCCTTTGAGGGTGATTCTGTTGCAGTTTTTTCTCTTAAACAGTTGAGCTTCAGACACTAGGACATTTTCCTCTATTGTATTAGGAAAACTTTATATTTCTGGAGTAACAGTTGGGTCTTAGATGCTTACAAAAGAAAAATAATAACATTCATTAAGTTTATGTAATCTTCTTTTCTTGTGATGAGTTCAGATGATGTGCATCAGCATTGTATAAGCCTTTTATCAAGTCCAGGATAAGAGGAAAGAATTGGAGAGCAATTTTTTGTCTTTGATTTAAGTGTTTTCATTATATGATTAAAGAGGAATAAGGATGGATAAAATTCATCAATCAAAATGATTCATTTTCTTCATTTCTTTAATTGGTAGTTTATATGTAATCAGGAAATTTATTAATTTCAACTCGTACTAGAGTAAAAGTTTTTAGTATTTTAAACAGATTCAGATAGTAATAAAAGGTTATTTGTGTTTAAAATCCTTCTTGCCATGATTCAGTGTTGAAATTATACTGCTTGTAAAATTCCAATGGATGAGAGCTAGAATTTGATATGACTAGCATAATTTGAGATTTTAATGAAGCTTAAAAAAATAGAAATAACCCACTACAGGTTTTATGTTTGTCACAAAAAAAGTCTGTCCATCAGCAATAATTTTCTTTAGAGAATAATAATATTTATCTGTGAAAAGTGAATCAATAACTTACCAATATGGCAAGGCTTACACACAAGATATTCTTAAATATGAGAATTATAGAATTTCCTTTGATATTTTCCTGATGTTCTTTGTACTTTAAAAAAATTGAGGTAAACTTGGCATATACAACTTAATAATTCAATAGTTATGTACACTACAAAGTGATTGCCACAGTGAGTTTAGTTAACATCCATTACCATATACAATTGACTCCCTGCACCCATTACACCCATCACCCTATCCCCTTCCCATCTGACAAACACCAGCCTGTTCTCTGTGTGTATGATTTTTGTTTTGTATTGCTTATTCATTTGTTTTGTTTTTTACATTCCAAATAGACGTGAAATCACACAGTATTTACCTTTCTTTGTCTGACTTATCTCACTTGGCATACTAGCCTCAAGATCCATTCATGTTGTCACAAATGGCAAGATTTCATTGTTCTATGGCTGAGTAGTATTACATTGTATATATGTACCACAACTGCTTTTTATATTCATCCACTTTTTCCATATCTTGGTTATTGTAAACAATGCTGCAGCAAACATAGGGGTGCATATATCTTTTCCAATTAGTGTTTTTCATCTTTATAGGATAAATACCCAGAAGACAAATTGCTAAATCACATGGTGGTTGTACTTTTAATTTTTGGAGGAACTTCCATAGTGTTTTCCACAGTACCACTCCAATTTACTTTTCCACCAACAGTGCACAGCAATCCTCTACATCCTCCCCAATACTTATTTCTTGTCTTTTTGACATAGCCATTCTGACAGGTGTGAGGTGATATCTCTTTGTGGTTTTGATTTAAATTTCTCTCATGACTAATGATGTTGAGCATCGTTTTATGTACCTGCTGGCCATCTGTATGTCTTCTTTCAAAAAATGTCTATTCATATCCTTTGCACATTTTTAAATCAGTTTTTTGTTATTGAGTTGTGTGAATTCTTTCTATACTTTGGATTTAATTCCTTATTAGAGACTAGAGGTTTGATGCATGAAATTCGTGCAAGAGTAGGCCTTCCTTCCCGTGCTGCCAGCACTGGCCTCCTTCCCGCAGGCACCCGGGACCCAGGCTTCCCTCTCAGAGGGAGGCCCCGCCCACCCACCACAGCCCACTAGTTGATGAGAGGGGAAGACAGAGCCAATAGTCTCTCTTGAGAGAGATGGGTTGGTGGTGTTGAGGAGGTGATGTGCTAGGTTGAGGGTTCGAGAAAGATAGTGAGGACTTAGGAGATGTCCAGGAGGTATGGGGTAGACCTACGTGCACAGAAAGAGGAGGAGGAGGAGGAGGAGGAGGAGGAGGAGGAGGAGGAGGAGGAGGCGGCGGCTTGGGCGGAGGGGGTGGGGGTGGTATTATTAGTAAGGACTAGGTAATCAGGACCCTGACGCTCAGTTTGGAATATGCTCTCCTGCCCTGGTTTCCACAAGGCTTCAAGAGATTAGTTAAGATATTCAGGGTCCCAGCAGGGGCAGAAAATGGGTCCCCCAGGAATTATTCTAGGGTTTCAGCGACCCTCAAAAAAGAAAGATAAGAACTATTAAGGAGATGAAGAGAATGACTAACCAGAGATACCAGAACATTTTACTTATCTGGCATCTGTGGATTCTCCAGGGGTCTTCCGGAAGGGAAGTTTCAATCCTCCAGGGGCTCACAGGAGTACTGGTCACCCTGATCCTGTGTTGCTAGATTTTCCTCCTGGTCCTTCCTCTCCTCAGTCTCACCCAGTGCCTACACTTTCACTCTCTAGTGGTGAGTCCAGGAGTCAATTCTGTTGACCTTGAATGCTGGGGTGTAGACAGCATCAGTGTATATGGCCCTTCCCAAAGAGAACTGAGGGTAGATGAGAGAGAAGGGAGAGACTTCACCAATACTGAGTCTCCAGGGGAGAAGCGGGAAATGCCAGTTTCTTCTGGCCAGGGCAGTAATACCTGTACCTGTGCAGCTGTTTCCTTGTCCAATAACTGATCATTGGCGAGGAATGGACGGCCATAAAGCATCTCATAAGGCAGTGGTTCTCAACCTTTTGGCCCTTTAAATACAATTCCTCATGTTGTGACCCAACCATAAAATCATTTTCATTGCTACTTCATAACTGTAATGTTGCTATTGTATTGAATCATAATGTAAATATCTGATATGCAGGATGGTCTTAGGCGACCCCTGTGAAAGGGCCGTTCGACCGCTAAAGGGGTCGCGACTCACAGGTTGAGAACCACTGTCATAAGGACTAAGGCAGGCGTCCTCAAACTACGGCCCGCGGGCCACATGTGGCCCGCCGAAAACATTTATCCGGCCCGCCGGGAGTTTTTGCTGCCTCTGCCTGTCCTGCTTAGCAGTGGACTCATCCCGGGCCCGCAGTGCGCATGTGTGGAATGTCTGAGGGACAGTGAACTGGCCCCTTGTTTAAAAAGTTTGAGGACCTCTGGACTAAGGCCTAGGTTTTGAGGAGTGTTTCTAATTCTGAGTAATGCTATGTATGGGGAGCACTGTGGGCCAGAGAAGGTGAGTCTCCTGGGTGAGCTTTCTGCGATGTCTCTTTAAGATCATTAGCTTTCTCCACCTTCCCTGAGGACTGTGGTCTCCAAGCACAATGTAAATGCTATTGACTACCCAAAGCCTTTGAAACCCCTGGGTGGCACTTGCTTTAAATGATGGGCCATTGTCACTTTGGAGGGTCCTAGGCAACCCAAAGGAGGAACCATTACCGAGACAAGGGCTTTAACTACTTCTTGTGCCTTCTCAGTCCGGCAAGGGAATGCTTCCACCCAATCAGCGAGTGTCTGCCTACACGAGGAGTTACTGATCCCCTTTTGACTTAGGCATATGGGTCACATCAATCTGCCAGTCTTGCCCAGGGTATTTTCTTGTCCTTTGAGTTCCTGGAAGGGCAAGCTTTTTATTGTGAGGATTATTCTTTTGGTGTATCTCACAGGCCCTAATGACCTACTGGGTAGTTCTCCAGAGAGTCCTGCCTATGAGATGGATCTCAGCACTCCTCAGGTGGAAGGCCTGGTGTAGGGTTCGAATAACTTTCCATCTACTGCCTCGGGAAGGAGTAGTTTACCTTCCTCAGTTTGTATCCATTCTGCGGTATACAGAGAGTGTCCGCGAGCAAGGCCCATCCTTTCCAGCTGGGGTGTATTGGGCTTTAATTCTCTAAGAGAGTCCTCCCAGATTAAAGGTTGCCCATGTTCTCAGTTTCTGGCTCCCTGGTAGTGCCTTGGCAGCTAGGTCAGCTTCCTGCTTCCTTCTGAAACCTCGTCCATGCCCTTCTGATGTCCTCGGCAGTGTATGACTGCCCTTTCTAGGGGAAGGGAGACTGCTGATCGCAGCCTGTCGATCTCCTTATGGTATTTAGTGGGAGATCCTTGACCTCGACTGTCAAAAAGTGTCTTTCCTCCCAAATAGCCCCCTGGGCATGAGAACCAAATCTGCATACTTGAGTCTGTGTCAGTGTTGGCTCTCTGACCCTGGCTTACTTCAGGCTCTTGTGAGGGCAGTCAGCTCTGCCAACGGGACACCAGTCCCAGGAGAGAGGGGTGGACTTTCAATAGTGATA